CCCTACAAAATTATAGAGGAGTCTGCATTTGTTAATGTTTGTTTAAAAGGAGGTGTTGACTCGAGTTCAGCTTGCAAGTAGGAGTGTCTAGTCAGTGTTTTCCTTTCTACTCAGAAAGTTAACAGGACTCTGACAGATCAGAGTTTGTACAGAGAGAGTTTAGGGAGCGACAGCACAGATTTCCCGCAGAATGATGGGGCACCTCATGAAAAATGATCAAGACTGGAACGACAAGCTGGTGGGACTGATGTGCTGCATGGGTCAGTAGTATCACCTGCTAATACCACTTTCACGTTTCAGAACCGGGAAAGGAAAGTTACGCTACCTGCTTCAGTTTGCATGGCGAGAGTTTGGCAGAGTAGGGGCAGCCCTGCAGAAATCTGGTCTGAAATCAGGACAACTTCTGAGGCTTCCTGGAGAGAACCACGCCCCCCCCCCCATAGGATGTGTATTTATATAACCTCAGTATTTACTATGTGTGTGATACTAAGTTTTGATTGGATTTCACTGCAAACCAGTCTGTGTAGCTTGTGGTAGTCAGTGCTCTTTTTGCATATTTGGTCCCCCCCCCCCAGTTCTCTAATTCTTTGCATTCAGTGTCATTACATATTTTCAGCCATGTTTAATTTATAAGGTGAACATAAGTGTATGTTTTTATTTAGAGCTTCATCTATAAAGGAAATAACTTCTAAATAGAGGCATGTTACAAAGCTTCTCTCAGAATAATAAATGATAAAACCAATAAAATTGGTTAAAACCACAGGAATGATTTTCCCTTTTTGTTGTCATAGCAACATTGGCCTAAATATAAATCTCCGTGTTAGGCATACTTGGCTGAAACGAAATAGAGGCCCATTATGACATTCATAATTGGAAAATTAGATGGTGTAATCTGGAATACTTCCTTTTAAAATGACTCCCTTTTGAAATAATGCATATGGAAAATAGTATGATTTATGGAGTCTTCTCAGACTTCAATTATTCCCTGACTGTAGCGTGATCTCTTGGAGAAAGTTGAGGCCCTTAAAATTCATATGCATTCTTCTGTCATTATTACAGCACTGGGGGACCATTGTAGCTTAAAGAGCCTCCCTTGCTATGGAAAGGGACCCATCTAAGTTTGTCATGATGTAAAAGGAAAGGCTGAGGTTGTTACTGTCAGGAAACAGCACTGGAGCTTGTGAGTTATGTGTCTGATGGCCAGCGTCAGGCTTTGGACCTTACTCTTGTGCTTTAGATGGGGATCATGATTTCCACATCCTGTTACCTTCCTCATACTCAGCACCGTCTCACCTGATCAGCCTATCACACAACCACCAACAAAACCTCAGGGATCAAAAGACCCTTTTTGCAGTTACATTAATAATGTTAAGTGTGAATTTCTCCTCTGTACTTGGAGGTAAATTATCTGATTAAACAGCTTGGTTGATACACCCCTTGAGTGAGAAAATTAGCCAGTTCATCTTTAAAACTTTTGCTCTACTTCTTCATGTTCCTTCAAGTATAGGACCTGTTTGTATTAATGTAGAAAATAAGAAAACTGTTTTGTTAACCCTTATGTCCTAAGAAGACAGGAGTTCCTGTAATGCATATTATATGTTGTTAAATTGAACAGAGCAGAGTAGATTTGTAAGAACTCACATTACTACAAGATGATTTGATAAATTAATAAAATTTTGGAGAACAATTACATTTTTTAACTCACTATGGAAACTTGTCTATTATTGAATTTTAAAGATTTTAAACTAATTTTTTTCTTGAGAATTTAACTTTAGGGTCCTAGGTTGCTAGTAGGAAGGGAATGATATGAATGTTACCTAGGAACTAAGATTTGTTGTTGTTGTTGTTTATTCCTTTTTTTTTTTTTTGCTGGATGCTTAGAAAGGCACTGCTGGACATGTGATGTGAGTGCTAGGCTTTGGCACACAGCTTCCATTGTTTATGGTCACTTGTCCACTCTCACATAGCAGGGCCACATTCTGCAGCTCACTGTGATGGGGTGTATTCAGCTCTTCATTTAAAAGATGACGGTATCTTGGGGATACCACAAGGCACTCTGGAGGGGATCACAATATGTGGGTCCTCACCACGGCTCTTTCCATATTAAACTATAAAGTCAGCACTTCTTTTTGGTAGAAGTCTGTCTGTGTCTGGATTTTGTCCTGCTACCCTGGGTCCTCTTCTGCAGCCTCACCTCATTGCCCTGGGCAGGGTCGTGCTGGCCCTCTCTCCACTGCCTGCTTCCATGGTGCGTGCCGGGTGCTTTCTCCAGTTGGGGTACTCGTCACACTGCCTTCCTATCCTGTGTCCTTTCTAGAGGATGAGCTTCAGAGTCCAAAGCCAGTTCATATTCTCTCCAGCCCAGTGGTTCCATCATCAGCATGCCACTGGGCTCATCAGATGACCTGAGAAATGCTGGAATGTATGAATATATATAAAGGAGGTGTCGAATCTGCATTTGATGAGTAAGAAGGACTAGAAGAATTTTCCTCCTTCTTGTTCTTGCCTTATGTACAACTTAATAACTTCATTTCATTTTGACCTTTTTAGGAATAGCAAGGCCAAAAGACATTTAAGACACCATTATTGCTTTAAGAGATAAAGTTGTATGTACTGCTGTAGATAAGTAATTCTGGATTGTTTTCCTGAGTTGGGTTGTCCTTTCTGAAACATACTTCACATAATGGGCACGTATTTGCTGAGTTAAAAAAAGCATTGTGGCATCTAGTATGGGGTAGACACAGGCAAATGAGGTATAGATGATGTCCCTAAGGGCCCAACCTTAGGGGGAATTAATAAACATTTTATGGATGATATTGTTGGTTAATAATTATTAATATCATTGTTCTTGACATAATACTTAGTAATGAGCAGTGTGCCTGGGAATTTTACAGTTGGAATCAGGAAATGTAAAATCTGACTGGGTGCAGTGGCTCACACCTGTAATTCTGGTGCTGTGAAAGGCCAAGGTGAGCGGATCACTGAGGCTAGGAGTTTTGAGAAACCTCGGCAAGATAGAAAGATCCCCATCTCTTAAAAAAAAAAAATCAACAAACAAAATTGGTTGTCATAGTGTACACCTTGTAGTCCCAGCTATTGGGGAGGCTGAGTGGGGAGGATCTCTTGAGCTCCAGAGTTTGAGGCTATAGTAAGCTATGACCACAGCTCTGCCCACCAGCCTGAGTGACAGAGTGAGACCTTGTCTCTTAAAAAAACAATTCTGTCCATTTGTATTCAGAATTAGCAAGCCTCTACCTTCTGGGTCTGTTTTTTATAACCTCTTGTCCAATTTTTTAATACCTACTGTTATTCAAGATGTAGATAGAAGTTTGTGGCATTGGAAAGGGGTTTATTACAGACAGGATCAAATGATAGACTGTGTTTAGTTTGTCTCTGATAGTGGTAGGAAATGAAAGGGTTTTCAAGGAGGTACTTGGGATAAAAAATGCTTATGAAATACATACTAGGTGATATGGTCCCTTGACCCCCTTCATATTGGCATTAATGTACAGGAGAACTCTAAGTCATATGCCATCATGGAGTAGCTCTGCGAATAATTGAATATGTGCAAGCCATTAGATGCTTTCCTAACATTTCTTTAGGAAAATTTTCCTCATTTTTTGAATATTTATGTTTTTTCAAAAATTTTATTTTCCCATCATAAACACTCTGGTTTATATTTTTCATGGATGGATTTCTTACATGCCATGACTATAATTTTAGAATAAATTTCAGAAGTAGACTTTCTGGGAAAGGGTATTTCTATTTTTAAGGCTTTTTTGCATACATATTGGCACGTTGTTCCAGAGCGGTGGTGTTTAGTAAAAGCTTTGTTCCAGAGCAGTGCTGCCCGATAGAGCTTTGTTCTAGAGCGGTGCTGTCCAATTAGAGCACTGCTTTGTTCCAGAGCAGTGCTGTCCAATTAGAGCACTGCTTTGTTCCAGAGCAGTACTGTCCAATTAGAGCACTGCTTTGTTCCAGAGCAGTGCTGTCCAATTAGAGCACTGCTTTGTTCCAGAGCAGTACTGTCCAATTAGAGCTTTGTTCCAGAGCAGTGCTGTCCGATTAGAGCTTTGTTCCAGAGCAGTGCTGTCCAATTAGAGCTTTGTTCCGGAGCAGTGCTCTCTGATAGAGCTTAGTTCCAGAACAGTGCTGTCGGATTAGAGCTTTGTTCCAGAGCAGTGCTGACCCATAGAGCTTAGTTCCAGAGCAGTGCTGCCTGATAGAAACGTCTGTGATGATGGGACTGTTCTCTGTCTGTGCTTTACAGCGTGATAGCCACGGGCTACCTGTCACTGCTGAACGTTTGAGTTGTGATTAGGCTTCTTCTCTCCCCCTTCTGTACTGTGTCTGTAGTAACCAAAGCAGGATCATTCTCCATAGTGAGGACATAGTTGGGGCATTTAAACACAGGGAATCCTGGAGAGAAAGTGAATAATTAAGCATAATACTTAATTCTGATAATTAAGCCAGAGTCCACTTAATGCCAAAGAATCTCAATCTTTGTCTGCCTTTTGTCAAGACTTTAAACTGTTTGCTAAATAATCACGGGCAAATTTTTTAACCTAAGTCTTGATTTCTTTTTCTGTAAAATGGTGATGATAATACCTGCCTTCCTCTTATGATTGTGAAGAGCAAATGGCGTGTAACTTGTGTTCAAATATTTGGTAAATTCAGTGCAGTGCCAGGGCTCACCTGAGCTGGAAAGGCTCAGGTTAGACAACTTTGTGGCGGTAGATTATGGGTCAAAGGGACAGGGGGCATTTGTTTAGTGGAGGAATGTTGGCAAATACAGCACTGGGAAGAGACCAGTCTGGCAAACAGCTCTTCAGCACTTTCTTTCAGATAGCCTAAAGTTGCCAAAGGTTAACAACAACAACAACAAAACTCTGATGTAACAGTATCTTTTGATTGTCTTATTTTAAGTTTACATGTGTGGTCACTAGTAAAGTCTCTTATTCATTGATTTTACCAACTTTAGATCTTTCTTTTTCTTCCAGATGAACGGGACAAAGTTCAAAAGAAAACCTTTACAAAATGGATAAATCAGCATCTCATGAAGGTCAGCTTTTCTTTCTTTCTTTCACGTTTTGGAATTCTTTTGCATCCTTCAATCGATTGTGTAGTGATCGTGTAGCTCTGAAGGGCAGCTTTGAATATCAACTTGAAAGTTTAATTCCTAGAGCCTCTCACATGGGTTTTAGGCATCTATAATTATTTGGTGTGTAGACTGGGTGGTGACAGAGGTGGTATGATAAGTACCCAGTGATTACAGTGCTTTCTGTGACATTAGCAAAACCTGCTATTATTGGACTCTAAACAACCTTAGCATTTTAAGAAATCTGTAAATATTTATATTTTAGTGTGTGGAAAAGCTGCATTTCTCAGTAAGATTTTTTTTTTTCTCTCTCAAGATTCAAACCAAGTTATGGCATCAGAACTTGTGGATATGGGCAGCACCTGTGGTTCAAGGGCTAGGGCGCTGGTCCCATCCCTGCTCTGGCCAAAAACTGCAAAAAAAAACCCCAAACAAACCAAACTTGTGGATGGCAGAGCGTTAGATGATAATAAAAATGGATTGTAGAGATAGAAGTATAAAGTAATTTTATTTCCTTTGCTTGACCCCAGGTGTTGGAGTCCAGCCTATGTGACATAGCTAGACTTTACCAAAAAAAATTTTTTTTTACTTCTTATACTTCGTATAATCCAGGGATTGGTGTTTGTGTTTGCATTTCTCTATGATGCAGTTAGTAGTCCTGGTTCTTAAAGTAACATTTATTTGCATGCCATGGGTCGGTCACTTTGAGAATCAGATATAAGCTCTTTAGAAATGTACGGATGGATATAAAGTGTGCCTACAATGTCAAGGACTCATTGACCATTGACCTGGCCTTCTATACACCTCTGGTAAAGAACTCTTGGGACTTCACATTTAATTATTGGTTGCTCTTCTCTGCTTTTATGGACATCCCTATAGTTGGAAATAGGTAATATTTCTATGTGTAAAGAATTTTTTCACGTGGAAACATTATTTTATATATGGTCATAGTCTTAAGGTAGCCCACAAATCTCGTTTAAACTATCATATTGCTTAGGAGTGATATTACACTGTTACTAATAGTGATGTTACTGTTACCAATTGTGTGATCCTGTCTAGTCACCTTCTCTAAAGGGACGTATAAGAATCACCAGAGCTGCCTCTCAGTCCCCTCTCCCTCACCACTCATTGGAATCCTTTCCTCAAACTCAGATAATGCCCCTGGGGGAGGGCATGTCATCCACACCCCAGATGAGAGTCTTGTCTGTAGGGGGCTTCTGTAACTACTGGGAGCTGAGTCCTCCCTCCAGTGGTTGGCAAGAGATTAAAAAGTGGAGACCCTCTGCTTTGTGAAACTTTTGTGAGGAAATATGTCGTACATTTTAATGAAGGATTCTACACTTCATCTGCCCTATCCCAAACTTTTGTCTCATCTGGCACATTCCATGCACTCAGTGGGAGGACGACTCTTGTCCATGGCAATGGACTGGGGTGAAGTTTGAGGTGCATTCTGTGACACTAGTAAAACCTTTTTTTTTTTTTTTTTTGAGACAGAGCCTCAAGCTGTCCCCCTGGGTAGAGTGCCATGGCATTACAGCTCACAGCAACCTCCAACTCCTGGGCTCAAGCGAGTCTCCTGCCTCCACCTCCCAAGTAGCTGGGACCACAGGCGCCCGCCACAACGCCCGGCTATTTTTTGGTTGCAGCCGTCATTGTTGTTTGGCGGGTCCGGGCTGTGGATTCGAACCCGCCACCTTAGGTGTATGTGGCTGGCGCCTTAGCCGGTTGAGCTATAGGCGCCGAGCCAGTAAAACCTTTTATTATTGGACTCTAAACTATCTCAGCTAAGACATCTGTAAATGTTTATATGTTAGTGCATGGAAAAGTTGCATTTCTCAGTAAGAATATTTTTTTCTCTTAAGATTCAAACCAAGTTCTGGCATCAGATTTACGTGGATGGCAGAGGGTTAGATGAAGGTTCTGGCAGGATTTTTCCATTGCTGAGGTGGCTCCAAGGGAAGCAGGCTCTTGGCTGCTGCTGGCCCAGCAGTCTTTGTAGCTTTGATCATCTGGCAGTGGATGTGTGCATATGTATGGGGGACACAAAGGATAGCTGCTGTGGTTCCAGGTTGGTCATCACATCACACCTGCTGGCAGTGGGCACCAAAGAGAAGTAGACACACAAATGAGAATGGCCCTCATAGGAGGACCATAGCACTGGCACTAGACAGATATTCATTGTAGGGCCTACTATGTGCTGGGCATTTTGGACTGGGAATTTCATCTCATGAGTTTCACTTATTAGATGATTATAAGGATGCTGCCTTTGCTAAGGGTGTCAAAATACTAGTTGAGCTGTTTGTAGACAGAATACATTGGACTGATCCCTGGGTCCCCTCATGGTGCCTGGCAAGAATTGTGTGCAGTACACATCACACACGTTCAGTCCTCTGCTCCTTCTGACAACCCTCCAAGCTGACGTAATTTAGCAGTTACACACATACAGTCTTTAGGGTCAGACAGCAAGGATTCAGATCCTGATTTACCTAGAATGTGTAATTTTAAAAAAATGGATACAGTGACACATCCCAAAGAGTTACGACTTCACTTCTCTTGCAACACACTAAAAATTGGGAAAAGTAAGTGTTTTAGGCTTCATAGCCGATAGATCGATGCCAATCTAACTGCCTAGGGTTGTAAGCAAAGTTCATTTGTTTCTTGAAGTGTATTATAGGTCAGAATTTAAAATGAGCTCTTATGAAATGAGAAACCACTTTAGGGAGCGGGGAAAGCTAGACAGTCACGTCTTGGCTCACTTCCCCTGCCTGGGAGCTGCCTAGATTCTTGTTCTGTTTTAGCATCTGCTCAAAATGGACTTTTCTTGTAATTCTGAGAGTTGTGCACTAAAATTTCTTTTTCATTTTTCTTTTATTCATTTATTTTTTGAGACAGTGTTTCACTATATCCCCTTTGGTGGAGTGCTGTGGCGTTCCAGCTCACAGAAACCTCCAACTCTTGGTCTTAAACAGATCTCTTGCCTCAGCCTCCCAAGTAGCTGGGACTACAGGTACCCGCCACAACACCCAGCTATTTTTGTTGTTGTTGTTGTTGTTTCAGTTGTCATTGTTATTTAGCTGGCCTGGGCTGGGTTCGAACCTGCCAACTTTTGTGTATGCGGCTCGTGCCATAACCACTGTGCTATGGGCTGCGAGCCTAAAATTTCTGACACAAAACTCAACTGTGTCAGAACATAGCTTTTTGCCTTTCATTTATTTTGTTTTTTAGTTTTTTTTTTTTTTTTTTTGAGGTAGAGTCTTATTCTGTTGCCTAGGCTGGAGTACACTGGTGTCATAGCTCACAGCAACCTCAAACTCCTGGACTCAAGTGATCCCCTTGCCTCAGCCTCCCAATTAGCTGAGACTATAGGTACCAGCTAATTGGTACCTATAGTAGGTAGGAAGCTGCCACACCTGGTTAACTTCTCTATTTTTAGTAGAGATGGGGGTCTCACTCTTGCTGAGGCTGGTCTTAGACTCCTGAGCTCAAGCAGTCCACCTACCTGTGCCTCTCAGAATGCTAGGATTACAGGTGTCAGCCACCCAGCCCTCATTTTTTATGTCTGGAAGTTATAGCATTTAATCTCAAGTGGAGAAAAATGATTAAATATCCCAAAATATTCTGGGGTTTGTAAGCTTTGGGTTGTACTAGTCAGTCGCACTAGGCATGTGATCTTGTCCATGTTTCACTTAAGATTTCATGAAAGGAAGGTTGCACTAGATGGCCTCATTTTGTCTCACTAAAAGGAATGTTGAATACGTTTATTTTTGGTGGCCATTTGGTCATAATCCAATTAGTGAGAAGTATAAAGTTAAGTATATGAATTTTGGATAAAAAAAATCTTAATATTAGAAAGATATTTCTTTTGCATTGGTTTTTTACAAAAATATTCTTCATCTGAAATGTTGAATATATTTAGGGAGAAACAGAGAAAGGAAGGGAATAGGTTCTTTATCTTTCTTGCTCTATCAAATCCCTTTTTAATTAATGAAAATTATGTTATCTGAAGAGCTTTTAATTAAATGGGATCATGTTCTATAAATGTTTAAGGAAAAGGGTGACCAGGAGAGATGAGTTGATGAAATGAATGTGTAATCGATGAATCAGGAGAGAAAGAAATAACAGTAAAATCATTCAGATAAAATCTGAGTATTTCTGTGTGTGTTCTCTATTTTGTTGGTTTTAACTATAGTCACATGAGAGGGAGAAATGGCAGGTTAAAGGTGAAAAGAGAGAGAATAAGGGGAAAGGGAGGGAGGGGCTGCTTGGTGCCCCCCAGGTGTCCCTCTTTGCCTTGGAGTTGTGCATAGAGTTGCCAGAAGGAGCCCAGGGTTCGGACACCCCTGTCCTTGGCTTCATACACTGTAACAAGCTGCCCGGAGCTTGAGTCTGCTGATTCAGACTAGGGTCGTGTTCTTCATCTTTTAAGTAATTCTTAAAAAATTTGTCTTTTCTAAATTATTATTTTATTTGTTGATTTTAATTTAGCATTATATAATTATTTTATCCTGGTCCTCTCACCCTTGTTGTGACTCCGAGGAGAACAGCTCTTGGTAGTCCTGCTCCTTTGGGACAGTGAGGTGCTTTGGAAGTTGGTCCCCAAACAGACCTTCTTCCCGGGATTTTTTTTTTTTTTCCATTTTGTAGTAGTATATTGAGCTAACTTAGAGCAAATGACCTTTGGAAGGAGCCTTTCTCCTGCAAGGTCATCAGTGTGTGACATGTGAGCCAAACATGAGAGGCAGCAGCAGCGGCCGGCGGAAGCAGCTCTGCCCTTGAGGTCAGGCAAATGGGGTGCGTTCAAGGCTTTGCAGTTTAGTATTTGTGTCAACTTCATCTTCTTATGCCCTCATGTGTAAAATGGCGGTCATGCCTGGTTAGTGTAAGGATCCTAAGTGTAAGCACCGTACTTAGCGTGGTGTTAAGCACTCAGCAAATGAGAGCTTATGATCTAGAAGAGTGGATTG